GTAAATTACGCATTTTGCAAAAGTAAACGTGCTTGTGCTATTTGGCCCACCAGTGGTGAAAGACAAGAAAAATTGCTGCAATCCCTCAAAATCGCATTGGGATACATACGGGTTTTTCGCTCCATCCCATGGAAGTATCATTCATTGGTCAGCCGAACCTCTAGTATGGCAAAGTTCCGTGAAAAGATATAGCCAACCAATGAGATCGCGTGGCGGTGAAGCGCAAACTCCGCCCATGCGATCAGCGCGCTGTATGATATCAAGAGTTCTGGGCTGTTTTGCATTCTACCATCGCTGGTGGCCCACTAGTTACAACAACTATCCTTTTGGGGTGCAATAAACAAATACACCTATTATTCCCTGCGGAATAAGGCTTTAACTGAATCCATTTATTTTGCGAACACTCCGCCCCATCTACTTCCGTCCTGTGGGAGTGCTCTACAGTTTCTACATTGAAGTGTCCGATCTTGTCGGTTGGTAAACTGTTAATACTTCAGGAGCTGCCACAATCCTCATCTTCGTTGTTAGTCCATTGTCACGCTGGACTCGGTCGCACTGGAGTTTTCATCGCTCTCGACGTCGCTTTGAGACAATTATATCAAAACAATACAGTGAATATAAAGGTAATCGTCATATTTTGCGGGAGCGGGGCAGAGTTACAGGGACCCGGAATCTGAGAGTGCCATCAGACTTGCGCCTCTGCGGAATTTCGTGAGGCCATATGCTGACCATCTGGTAATTTTCCCAATGTGGGCTCGCCCAACTTAGGGTATGGGGTTACCGCGAAAAGGGAAGGGGGTATTTCGGTGCAGCAGTTCGTGCCGACAGGTGTTCCCAATTGGGCAGGACAAGGAAGCTCAAATTACCAACTTCTGTACAGACAGACTGGCTCACCCATTAAAATGGGTGAGCCTTAGGTGCTCTTCAAAAAATGCCCCTTTTCCACCCTCTCCTTCATAGCAATCAACCCAGAACGTGTTTTTATACAGCTAATCTGACAAAGTAACAACCTCAAAGGAAATTTCTCCCCGTCCCCGGCCGGGAGGTTGAAGGGACTCTTCGCGATTAAAGTGGTAAACTAAAAAAATGAAATCAGGGGTGCGAAATGTGGACCATCAATGAGAGAAAGACATACATCGCCGAAAACAAAAAGGAGCTCGTTTTGTTGGATGATGCACGTGTTTACAAGACAGAGAGACATGTGCAGTCTAACCATAAGACACTGTACGTTGAGGTGAGAGAACAGGACATCGGAGACGAGCGAGAGGAAGTACGATCCGGGGCATGAGTCTCTGGGCGGAGCCACGGGTAAGGTATGGAGTCATGTGTGTACCGTTGGGCTCTAACACCCCTGGATTGCACATTAGGGTTACGAAATAGATATATCCCGGACACTTGTGGACCGCTCTACCTTCCTCGTGCAGGATTTGGTTGCAATGAAACAGTCGTGGAATGTGCCTTTAAGTATACTACAATTTCCTTTACAGGGCGTGGTAGAGAAAATTCGAGAAAAACGTGCACGAGCAGTGATGAATCCGTGGCAGTACGCTTACATTAATGTGGTAGTTGCTGAGAAGGTTAGTTTTTATCTAATCCTCCACGCGACTACTGTTTATACTTCATTTGTCGATTCAGGCATTACAATGTGGCGCGTTGTCTTCATGTGTAGGTGGCCATAATGTTCGACAGTTAATTGATCGAATGTGGACGGATTTGTTTGACGAAGTTCACCGTCAGTTTCAGGGAAACATACTGACATATACCCCAGAAATGATGTATTCGAGCTAAAAAAAACTTATAAGCTCGATTGTGCTAAAGCACTTAATAAACATTTGAACGTTTTCTGTGTTCCATGACAGAAAGGAATGGTAAAGCCATGTGTTCATACTTAGCGTTTTGGGAGATTTGGAGAATACGCGACGAAGGAAAAATATTCAAGGGAAAGCGCGAGAAGAAATATCGATCCATTTGGCTGCCCAAATTTAAAGGTTTCCACCAACCCCTCGGCGATCTAGCATGGCCGTCCCCGCGCCGCTATCGCCGCGGCACGCCCCTTCTTCCTGTCTGAGCCTCCACCCGTTTAGCAGAGTGAGCGTTAGCATTGAAGAGGGCAGCACCGATGAGAGTCGCATCGGTGCGGAAAGCGGTCCAATTTCTCGTGTTCTGGGCCGTTTCTCATTTTTCCTTCACACCGGTGCTACTGATCACATCTGCTTTGATTTTTAATGAGCTGACTTTCCATCAAAAAGTTAGTGTCAGTGCCTGCCCGCGCCGCATCGCAAGCCTCATGATCGATACTAGCTGGCAGCTGCTCTGCTCCTGCAGTCAGGTGTCTTTGTGGGCGTGGTGCGTGAAGCTGTTAAGTTGTAGTTGGGTACCCGTCAGGAGGCCCGTCGCGCGGCAAGAAGGCAGAGTCAGCGGACGAGTCGCAGCGCGTGATGTGCGATGTAGGACGTACAATGGACATTCTATTTAACTTGACGCGAAATCCCTACAGTACGCGCGCGACTCGTCCGCTGACTTTGCCTTCTTGCCGCGCGACGGGCCTCCTGTCGGGTACCTGTGGTAGCTAGACGAGCGTGCAATCATTGATTGCTGATCTCAGAATTCGCAGACTTTAAGCTGACGTACTGGCCACAACGCGCATCTTTAGATCATGGAGTGGATATAATAGCGCGCTCAGTTGAGAAAAGCGCGCTCCGTTCTCATTGGTTTGAAAAACCGTTGAAAGAACTCCACAAATGGCGTTATTATCGATTAGTTTCTACTTCATGAATTGTGTTATTATATTGCATTCCGCATTATGTATTTGGTAGCAGCTGACTGTGTTCGTTCTCTTTGACTTCCATGTTAACGGTGCTATTCTCAACTTCTTTTGAAAACTAGGGTTTTCTGTGAAGAACTGGGCTCTTAACCTTGTCAAGGTTTCGATGGGCACAAAATCTCTCACTTCGTTGGAATTCCAGCATATATTTTCGAGACTGTGCCAATCAGTTGTCGCGAAGAACTTGGTCGTCGTTAGGCTGGTGTCAGAGTCTGCGATCCTTTGCAGGTTTCGCTGATTTCGCGACTTGCGCGGTTTCCGCGATTCTCGAGATTATGCGATTGTGCGATTTGTGCGATTCAGCGATTTGCGCGAAACCTGCGACGAATCGCAAAAATCGCAAGTGCCCAATTTGAACATTTGACACATGAATATGAAACGAGTGGAATCATGAGCAGTCATTCAGCCATCACTATCAAGCAGAATTGGCGGCAGGATTGGAGAACACCTTGTAGTATTGATCGGGCACTTGTGATTTCCGTGACCCGTCGCGTGAATCGCGCAAATCGCGAAAATCAGCGAAACCTTCGACGACCAGAGTCAACCCTGCGTTGCGCAGTTCGCAACGGCACGTTGAGAGATCCTCAACGCACGCTGTATGGGCGGAGACGCAGACGGCTCGAGCATGCGAGTGTGAATGTTCGCGCGAGAGAACGTGTCTAATCGGGCGAAACTGCGCAACGTGGCCGTTGAGAACTGCGCAACGCAGGGTTGACTCTGTTCCAATCGGATACGGAGTCTGACACGCTTT